GTGTCGCCTCCTGGGCCCTGGCTTGTCTTCCAGTCACCCTCCGTCTCGTGGAATTTAGCATTTGAGCTAGACTAATTAGATTTTGTCATCATTCCTCAATTCAGTCCGTCTCGCTATTCGGGATTAAGTATTTCCTTATGCCTCACCTGTCGATCTTCCATCCTGTTGAGGTTCTCACTCAAGGGCGTCGTCACCCTCAGGGTAGCCTCAGGGTCTTGTTCTGCTACTTCCTGCTGGCTATTGTTTGACTTTCTCACATATTTCGTTGTCGTTTTCTTTTTTTTTTTGTGTCATCCTCCTATGTGGTCTAATTACTTTTTTAAGTTTGTATAGATTATTTTCTTGCTGATGTATTTTAGTGGTGGATGTTGTATGTGTGTTGTTGTTGTATTCCTGTTTTCCTGTTTATCTGTTGATTGTCACATATTCGTTCATATTCTCTGTTGCTGGTGTTTTGATTTTTCTGTTGATCTGTTCTTCGTGGGTTCACCAAGTTGTGCTTACGGGGGTTGAGCTCTGACTCTCTGGTCCCGCCTCTCAACATCCAATCGACTGTGTGTGTGTGTGTGTGTGTGTGTGTGTGTGTGTGAGAGAGAGAGAGAGAGAGAGAGAGAGAGAGAGAGAGTGGGGGAGGTGCAAATTATTATTTCTCACGTCACAGAGTTTGGTAAAAATCTATGTCACATTCTCTTGTTCAAACTTTCTCTAATGCCTCCGTCGGTAGAGCGACGGTCTCGCTTCATGCAGGTCGGCGTTCAATCCCCGACCGTCCATAAATGGTTGGGCACCATTCCTTTCCCCCCGTCCCATCCCAAATCCTTATCCTGACACCTTTTCCAAGTGCTATATAGTCGTAATGGCTTGACGCTTCTCCTGATATCTCCCTTGCCTTCTCTCTCTCTCCCCCCCCCCCTCTCTCTCTCTCTCTCTCTCTCTCTCTCTCTCTCTCTCTCTCTCTCTCTCTCTCTCTCTCTCTCTCTCTCTCTCTCTCTCTCTCTCTAAACTGCCAACTCAGAAGACAGGTGTCAACAGTACTTGGGTAAGTGTGAGGGGATGGAGGGAAGGGGAGAAGGGAGGGAAGGGAAAGGGAGGGGGCGGGTGGTACGGTGGGGATGGGGGGGGGGGAAGGGAGAGGGGAGGGGGAAGGATAGCGCGTGAACCCTCAAATGATATCAATTTATTTACTCTGCAAATCATAAAGTCCCGACAGTCAAGGGGGGGGGAGCTAGAGCCTGGTGTGTGTGTGTGTGTGTGTGTGTGTGTGTGTGTGTGTGTGTGTGTGTGTGTGTGTGTGTGTGTGTGTGTGTGTGTGTGTGTGTGTGTGTGTGTGTGTGTGTGTGTGTGTGTGTGTGTGTGTGTGTGTGTGTGTGTGTGTGTGTGTGTGTGTGTGTGTGTGTGAGTGTGCGTGCGTGCGTGCGTGCGTGTTGCCGGTCCCACGTTTCAGCTGCTTCCTTTTAATTTATTACTAATAAATGTGGTAAATTATTTTTGCATTGCGTTTTCTCTGTTTTTTTTTATTTCAATTAGGGGGTCATATTTGTCTGGGGGGGGGAGGGGTTTAGGGGGGGGTATTCACCTAGTTGTACTCACTTAGATGTGCTTGCGATGGGTTGAGCTCTGGCTCTTTGGTCCCGCCTCTCAACAGGTGGACAGGTTCCTGAACTTATTGGGCTGTTATCATATCTGTGTGTTTGTGTGTGTGTGTTGGGATACACATTTCGTGGATACATAATGGCTATCACAATAGGAGTTATCATAAACAGTATTGATCAAGCCCTTGAGGCTCAATATAACCATAATATAATCCCTAAAGGATGAAACACACACACTTAGTCTATCTCATATCCTCTGGCTGGAAGAGGGGGTCATTAAATTAAACAGGGGGGGTGTGTGGGGGGGGGGGGCAGCACCCCCTCTCTATTCGTCACTATTCACTCCTATTTAATTCCCCTTCACCCTCCATTCTTTCTCATCCTCTTTTCATTACTTCCTTCCACTTTCCCATATCATTTCTCCTCTCCCATAATGACCCATCTTCCCCCTCTCCCACAATGTCCCCTCCCTCTCCTCTCCCATGGTAAAATATGTCATACTTTTCCTTCTAAATTTTACCTGATCAGACGAATGATCAAAATGTAGGGAATGGGTGAGGTAAATGGAAGGGTAAGGGAGTGAAGCAGGGGAGCTGGAAAAGGGAGAGGAATGGGGGCTGCTGGAAGGGGAAAGGGAGAGAGAGGGGCAGTAGTGGATGGAAGGTGGGGGGGGGAGGAGGAAAGTAATATAATGGAAAATCGTCACTAGTGCTGTCATTATATAACACTCTCCTTCATGATAAAATGAAATTGATGGAATTGAGGAACGCGGAGGAGAGAGAGAGAGAGGAGAATAGGAGAGAGAGAGACAGAGGGGGAAGAAGAATGAAGGAGAGAGGGAGGAGATGATAGAGACAGGAGAATAATTAGTAAGTCGGTGATGATGAGTAGGAGAACGTGAGGGATATATGTATAATGAATGGGTCTTTAGGTCTGTGCCTGAATGGATAACAGGTCAACCTCTTTAAGTGAGAGCGGGAGGTGGGGTGGGGGGGGGGGGAGGGTGGGGGTTCGATGCCGAAAAGCTCAAATTTAAACCAATCGGACAAGGAAGAGACACGTTAATGATTGAAGAAGGCAAGGTTGTGGATTCTCACAAGGCTCTTAAGGCTCTTACAAGGCTCTTAAGGCTCTCACAGGGCTCTTAAGGCTCTCACAGGGCTCTTAAGGCTCTCTTAAGGCTCTCACAAGGCTCTCTTAAGGCTCTCAAGGCTCTCACAAGGCTCTTAAGGCTCTCACAAGGCTCTTAAGGCTCTGACAAGGCTCTCTTAAGGCTCTTAAGGCTCTTACAAGGCTTTTAAGGCTCTCACAAGGCTCTTAAGGCTCTCACAAGGCTCTTAAGGCTCTCACGCGTACTCAACACGTACACGACTAACACACTTACCGACCTGTGCACATGTCCACTTTAATTGCCAGCTGGTCATTTGAAGGTCATCTCGAACGCTTCTTCTGTGTGTGTGTATGTGTGTGTGTGTGTGTGTGTGTGTGTGTGTGTGTGTGTGTGTGTGTGTGTGTTTGCGGGGGTGAGCGTGTGTGTGTGTGTGTGTGTGTGTGTGTGTGTGTGTGTGTGTGTGTGTGTGTGTGTGTGTGTGTGTGTGTGTGTGTGTGTGTGTGTGTGAACGGCAAGTGACTGTAAACATCAGTAGAATGTAATTAATCCCATCTCTGCAATTAATCACATCTGTGCAATTAATCCTAATTTGTACAATGGTACTCCGTCGCCCCCTTAATTTCGTGGTATTACCGCAATAACTGGAACTATTCGCTGTGACACACAGTATCACTTGATGAACGGTGTTTCACTGTACTAACAGTCTAACCAATGGGTTAGACTGTGGCCTAGCCTCATGGGCAGTGGCCTAGCCTCGCGGACGCTGACCTAAGCTCGTGGGGCCTGAATAGAATCCGACTATCGTTACGGATTCGACTTAATTGCGCCAAAACTTGCTTGTGACGCGGCTATGTAAAATCATTAATAATTTCAGTGAGGACATGTTGGGTCATCACTTAACCTATATATATATATATATATATATATATATATATATATATATATATATATATATATATATATATATATATATATATATATATATAACGTAAATGCTTTTACTCCTTGACGAATAAAGAAATCGTGTAAATTACGTCAGAAAACGTCAAATTGTAGGTTTACAGAAAATGTAAATCCTCACTGATTGTCTAATACAGAAAACGTAAGTTGTAGGTTAGAAACTCCTTCGTTTGTGGATTCAAAACGTATCGTTTGTGGTGGTAAGCTTGGACCGTCTCAATAGTGGCGTTGGGTTGGTTAGCTACACCTGGCAAATTGGTGCGTGTGTGTGTGTGTGTGTGTGTGTGTGTACTCACCTAGTTGTATCTGCAGGATCGAGCATTGACTCTTGGATCCCGCCTTTCGAGCATCGGTTGTTTACAGCAATGACTCCTGTAATGTGTGTGTGTGTGTGTGTATGTATGTGTGTGTGTGTGTGTGTGTGTGTGTGTGTGTGTGTGTGTGTGTGTGTGTGTGTGTGTGTGTGTGTGTGTTTGCGGTGGGATTAACCGCTGTGTTTATTTACTCCCCTTCAATTCCCTAATGACCAATACCCCCATATGTTTGTACCTCAAATTTTGCCATATATATATATATATATATATATATATATATATATATATATATATATATATATATATATATATATATATATATATATCACCATTATTATGAATAACCTATGTCTGTGTGCGATAACAATCAAGCTTAACTCAATCAGTAATTCTACTTAAGCTTAAGACTCTTAAGCTATCTTGGGAGCTATTTATCATTCATATTTAACACATTCTTTTTTTCTCTGGTTATCTCAGTTCATCGTTTAATATTCTTAGGTTCCCCTCGATTCTCTCTGGTTATCGCATTTTGGCTTGGTCATCGTTCTTACGCGTAATCATTCCTCTCTCGTTATCGTGGGTTATCATTCTCAGTGTGTCTAGCATTTATAGACCTTAGGCTTCGTTAACTGGCTTATTCTGCTGTCTCTTTCTCATTCTTCGCTGTTATCATGTCTTGGCGTTATAACCCTCCTTTCGTAAGGCTATTTTCCTGTTTTATCCAAACTTTGAGTTCCTTTTCTGTCCGTCTTTCTTACCAATCATTCATCCCCTATCCCCTCCCAATCTTAACTATCCAATCCCACTATCTAACCTCAGCTCCTGCCAGCCTAGCTAACCAGTCATCCAACCTCATATTTTTTTACTATCTCACTAACCCCCATATCTGTCCTGTAACCACCCCCTACTAACCCCTAATCGCCTTACTAACCCCTAACCACCCTACTAACCCCCTAACTACCCAATCTAACCCCTAACCACCCAATCTAATTCTCCTCTAACCGCTCTGTTCCATTGTTCTAGGCAACAAGAGAGATGGGTTTTTGTACACCAGTACGCCCACCTGGGCGGGTGGTACGCCCACCTGGGCGGGTGAAACGCCCACATCTCACAGTAAACAGACCTGTTGTTATTACTCATCAGGAACCAATTTTTACTGTGGTTGCTTAGCAGGTAAAAATGACTTTCTGATTAGTGTAATTTTTTTTTTGTCTTTTTTGGCTTCACTAATTGTTTATGTTAATTAAAATCATTCTTGGCTCTTTGTTGAGTGTTGTTAATTGTTTCATTCACATGATTTGTTTATTGATATTCTTATATGCTTTTTGAATTTTGACACATTATTATTTTGACTTAAATTAGTTGTGTGAGACTTTTTTGACTCATTGTTTCTGCTGTGTTATTTCTTGCGTCTAATGTTATTATTATTCTTTATTATTTGTGTTATCCCTCTTTACTTCCCTCTATTGCCCCTCCTATGTCATCTATTTTCTTATCTCACCTTATTCTTTTACACTTTATTATCATGTAAATTTGTAATTTGTCTTTATTATCCATCTTTACTGCCATTTTTCCATCTTTATTAAATATTTCAGCCCATCCTCCTGTTTAGTTAATAGGATGAGGACCATAGTTCATATATGACGTAATTGACTATTAGAAAGTAGAAATCGTTACTGTTGAATTTGGAGAACCCGGAAAAGCGTTTTCTATTTATGTTGCAAAGACAAACTAAACTAATCTAGCCTTTCTAGGCCTAATTCACGCTGTCTTAGGCCTAATATAGTACATATACGTGCTATACTAAGCCTAGGAATATTTACTTTGTTTCTGTTTAGTTTTTTCGGACTAAAAGTGAATAGTAGCAAAGTCTTTACTATCTAATTGCCTTTTGAGTCAATGTTTGTACTATGGGGCACATCTTGAGGTTATCTTGAGATGATTTCGGGGCTTTAGTGTCCTCGCGGCCCGGTCCTCGACCAGGCCTCCACCCCCAGGAAGCAGCCCGTGACAGCTGACTAACACCCAGGTACCTATTTTACTGCTAGGTAACAGGGGGCATAGGGTGAAAGGGGTGGGCGAAACAATGTGCCCATTGTTTCGCCCGGGATCGAACCCGGGACCACAGGATCACAAGTCCAGCGTGCTGTCCGCTCGGCCGACCGGCTCCCCTACACACACACACATAGCTACAAAAAAAGTACTGTCTAAATAGGAGGATGGGTTGTGTACTTTTATTGCTTTTTTTTGTGATTATTCATCTTTTTGATAATTATTATTTATTGTTAACCTTCTTCATTGCCCCATTTTTTATTATTATTTATAATCCATTTGTGTTCTTTATTTACTTCTCAATTATTAAACGTGTTTATCCTTCTGCTCCTTATTTTTATTGCGTATTATACTCACCTTCATCTCAATATCACAGCTTCGTATTTGTTTTTAGTTTTTTAATTTTAAATCGCGATCGCTTAGATACACATTAACTGTGACCCATTTTCTCTTTCCACGTGAACCGCGATCGCTTAGATACACATTAACTGTGATCCATTTTCTCTTTCCACGTGAATCGCGATCGCTTAGATACTCATTAACTGTGACCCATTTTCTCTTTCCACGTGAACCGCGATCGCTTAGATACACATTAACTGTGACCCATTTTCTCTTTCCACGTGAATCGCGATCGCTTAGATACTCATTAACTGTGACCCATTTTCTCTTTCCACGTGAACCGCGATCGCTTAGATACACATTAACTGTGACCCATTTTCTCTTTCCACGTGAATCGCGATCGCTTAGATACTCATTAACTGTGACCCATTTTCTTTCTCCGCAGGGTACAGCTACGACAGCGCCGCCTACGGAGGTCAGAGTTACCCCTACATGACGGGCCAGATGTATGGAGGCTACGACATGACTAGGGGGTACTCCCCCACATCCAGCACGCCCTCCTATATGAACGGGTCTTACAGTCCAGCTATGTATGCCTCCGCACCTTCCCCCTATTCTATGAGCCAGGTATGTGGAGCTTCATATATATATATATATATATATATATATATATATATATATATATATATATATATATATATTTATTATAACCTGTATTTTATTTTAAATGTAAATAGTATATAATATCGGAAACTAACCCGGTCTTCTTCTCTAAATAGTTACCCTTTCAATCAACAGATGGCGTCAATGGCGTCCGTGGGTTCGGTGGGTTCCGTAGGGTCGTCAGCTTCCCACTCTCCCACGCCCATTAAATCTGAGACGCCCACACTGCCCGTGTCCTCACCAGGGGCCACCATGCCGCCCTCAGCCACCCACACCTCTGCAGGAGAATATCAAAGTGAGTGTCTTCGCCAAGTTTCAAGTCTTACCTTGACAAATATATCTTGAAAAATATTGATATGTCTATAGTGATATTTTTATTTCTAAACTAGTTTTTACTTGTTATATATATGACAAGTGTCAGACCACGAAGGAAGGATTAAGACTGGGATTGCCTTAGGTACTCTCGTATTTAATAATACGTCTTCAGAAGGATTGTTAAATGCGAAAGTACTTAAGGAAATTCCTGTCTTAATAATTTCATCGTGGTCTGACATTGTCACATTGTTTCATTATAATTTCTTTGTGATTTACTCACACACACACACATATATATATATATATATATATATATATATATATATATAATCGCCTTTAATAGACATTCACAAAGATGGTTCCAATATTCCTTGGAAAGAAGACTTTTCAAGATTGAGATAGACATTTCTGATAGGGATAGACAAGTGGGTGACAGGTAGGAAATCTAGTTGACGATAGAGAAGGAATTGTACGGTGTTCATTTTAAATATAAGATACGAGTTGACGAAACGAATTGACGTTTTGAATAGATAGGGAAGACTTCAAATTTTAGCCCCCCCCTCCAAGATGTAAGCCATGGGATTATAAACACATATAGATGAGACACATATAGATAAGACACATATAGATAAGACACATAGATAAGACACATGTAAGACTAGTTACGTCCATCAATAGTCAAGACTTTAATAATGTCCTTGTTCATACAGGCGTGAACAAGCATTTCTAGGCGACCTACCCACCCCCCTCCCTCCCCCCTGCAACTCCCCAACCCCAACAACCAAATCAACCAAGACGTAATCAACTGTGTTTGCCCACTTAAACAAGTGTGTGTACATATGTGCTCTCACCGAAACAAGTGTGTGTGTGTGTGTGTGTACTCGGCCCCATGTGTGTGAGACCGAGAGGTGATGATAGTGATGATGGTGATGATGGTGGTGATGCCATGACTGAGCGAAGGTCTTTTCCTTCCTTCCCCTTCAGGTGTGATGAAGCGAGAGTATGGCGCGGCGGGCCCCGGCCAGCAGGACTTGTCACAGATGATATCTATGTATCTTCCGGGGTCCCAAGAACGCCACGAGCAGCAAAAGGCCGTCGCCGCCGCCGCCTACATGTCCCACGCCCACTATCACGCCCACGGCGCCGCTTCCCCCGACCAGATGCCGCCCGCGCCTATGCCACTCGCCCATATGTAAAGCCAAGCCACCAGTGACGCCCGGAGCTTACTTTGCGAGGGGGCGGGAGGGGGTGTTAGCCACAGGGGTGGGGAGTGGTGACCAACCGCCCTTCCCCCCCTTTTATTCTCCTCCTCTCTCCCCCCTCCCTCCCTCACCCCACCTCTCTCCCCCTTACTAAGGGGTGATGTTCATCAACCCGCCCACGGCCGCCCACGTCGCAGTCCCATGCTGCCTAGCAGATGACCACCCACACGCCTACCATGCCCAACACCCGCCGATCAATCGACGCCATCTGTGCAGCAACTCAACCCTCAAGAACATTCGCCTCTCATCATCTTAGAAGCGAAGAGACACCATGTCCTCCCCACCACAGCTCTCATGAGTTCGAAACATGGTCGGACAAGCGTACCCAGACACCCCTCTAAAGAGTCTTTGAGTCTTGGAAGTAATAGCCATATAGGCTCCAGATTTCACCTAAGTGTCTCTAGGGTCCTGTATATCGTCTTATATATTGGAAGAATCACGAGGAGCAAAGAGGGGTCGAGTCGGCCGCGCATATATAAAGCCCAGTGGTCCTATACATAGTCCCTATAGTGGGTCCAGGGGTGAATCGATGGCTATTAATGATCCGGTGGTCCGAGTTTTCGTCCAACGGGGCTTGGCCGGATATATGTACTGCCGGCGTGACTCTGAGGCTCACGTGTGTGTGTAATCCACCACCAGGCCGGGCGTGAGCCGGCGGTTGGATTCAGCCGTTATCCAAAGGGTTCGGGCTTGATCCAGAGGTGATCGGGGGTTACAGTAATTCAGGCTTGAGCCATGATTCCTGTAAGGGGTTCAGCCGCTAACAAAACGTATTCCAGCAGTCCGAAAAATGGTACAATGTTTCAGGTATACCCTGTAAGTCGACAGCGGTCCATGTGTGGCCCAGAGGTCCTGTAGCGGTCCATGTGTTGGCCCAGAGGTCCTACAGCGGTCCACGTGATGTTCAGTGATCCTACAGCGGTCCATGTGTTGGCCCAGAGGTCCTACAGCGGTCCACGTGATGTTCAGTGATCCTACAGCGGTCCATGTGTTGGCCCAGAGGTCCTACAGCGGTCCACGTGATGTTCAGTGGTCCTACAGCGGTCCAAGTGTTACTCAAAACAGCCTAGCTGTGGTCCAGCGCTGGTCCAATGAACCGGAAATAATCCAGTTGTCGCAGATTTGGGCCAACGCTTCAGCCATGAACCAGAAAGTTGGGTTCACACCTAAACGTGAGTTTAGGTGTCCAGGTGTTGGTCCAACGCTCCAAATACTGGTCGAGCGGTTCACAGGTTGGCCCAGCGATGAAGCCTTTGTCCCCCCCCCCCCAGCCGTTAAATCGTCGGTCCAACGGTCCCAACTGTTGTTCCAGCGGTTAAATCATTGTGTATCCAACGGTTCAGTCCTTGTTCCAACGGTCCAATCGCTGGTTCGCCGTTCCGTTGGTCCAGAGGTCTATAAGCCAAGAACCAATCCAGTGGTTCCTGCGCCCCCCCCACCCCCCCACCCGACACCGAAGCGGGCAACAGAACAGGACTCTAAAAAAATAAGAAAATTAACAAAAAACATAACATGTGATAATCGCATAAAGTTAATGTTACGAGTAAATATTAATAATTTTAACAGTGAATTTACAATGAAAATCACACAAAAAAAAAGAATGTTTTTTTGTTTGTTTTTTTGCGGAAAGTGTGTAAGGAAAATAACCTGAACAGTGTTAAATGCCACTATTTATACTGAGGTTTGTTTGTTTGTTTGTGTGTGTGTGTGTGTGTGTGTGTGTGTGTGTGTGTGTGTGTGTGTGTGTGTGTGTCATTGGGGGGGGGAGGGGCGGTATGGGCCTATGTATTAGCTAGTGCTGGCCGGGGGGGAGGGATGGGGTGTGTGTGTGTGTGTGAGTACGTGTGTGTGTGTCTGTATGTGTGTATGTGTGTGTGTACACCCCCACAGGCGTCGCCCTTTTCTGTACATAGATTTTTTTTAATTTTATTTTTGTTCGCGTCTTGTACATACCTTTTGCTCTCTCTCTCTCCTTTTCTGTCTCTTGATCCTCGGCTTTCCTCCGTGTCTTCCCTACCTCCCTGTCTCCTGCTGTCGTGTCCAGCTGTCCATGTCTCTGTCTCTCCCAGCTGTCCTTCTCTTTCTCTCTCTCTGTCTCTCCCAGTTGTCCTTGTCTCTCTCTCTGTCTCTCCCAGCTGCCGAAATCTCCATCCATGGCACTGATATGCCATTTTCGGGAGCTTTGCCCCCCACCAGCCCACCCGCCGGCGGCGCCTTGGGCAGGAATACAGCCCTCTTGTCCACCCGGATCGGACCAGACACCAGAGAGCCCCTTCAAAGGAGTTCCTCGACGACGTCTCCTTCCAATCTGAGAGAGGTCATCCCCCCCCCCTTTCTTGCCCATTCCTCTCTCCCCCCTCTCACTAAACCCCGTCACACCCACCCCCCTCTCTTGGCTTCGGGGGGGGGGAAGCAGGAGTCAAGCCTGAGGGCAAGGAAAGACCTATATACTTGCCTGCCTGACTCCCTCCCCTACCTTACCTACCTACTTATACAATCCGGTCTTTCTCTGTAACCTTTATCGTTTGGCCTTGTAATTTTTTGTCTAATTCTGTATATCGTCTGTACATAACGCACCGATATTTGTCTTGTTATACAACACAGTGGATAAACCAACGTTTCTTTATCGTTGGAAATGAATAAATAAAATAAATGGAATATAGATTCATTTTATTTCATCCTCCCACACCCCTACACCCACACACACACACACACACACCCACACACACACCCCCTTCAAGGATGGACGTCGTTGCTGTGCTTGTTCAAGTGAGCTGTGACTGCAAGCTTCAGGTAATGGCAAAGCATCACGCAGGTAAGACCAAACTACTCCAAACAGGCTACAGACGTCCAGTATAAGAGCTACTTGAAAACTACTGCCAGTGGCCAGTAAGGGAATATTATATATGAATCGACTTGAGAATGGTCCAGGACGGACCGAAACGTCGTCGTCGTCCCTTCACCTTCTAGTGTGTGGTTTGGTCAATATATATATATATATATATACATATATATATATATATATATATATATATATATATATATATATATATATATATATATATATATATATATATATATATACTCACCTAGTTGTGTTTGCGGGGGTTGAGCTCTGGCTCTCTGGTCCCGCCTCTCAACCGTTTCAACCTCTGTGTGTGTGTGTGTGTGTAAGATAGAGAGAGACAGACAGACAGACAGACATATTGCCAAGAAAGCAGCCGCCAGCGCCCTCGCCCGGCTCCCGAGCGCGCCGCTGGAACAACAGTCAACAAACTACCGTTTACACCAATTAGAGGCTCAAGCGCCTCTTACCCCGCTCAAACAACTCTGGCTGGTTGACAAGTCAGTGTCTCAATGACTCTAGTGTAGAGCAGACGTGTTCGGCTTCGTTGGTCCGGCTTATTGGCGGGTGAGTCTTTCTCCCCCTTGGCTTTCTTCTAGAAGGTTCGAGTAGTCGTTGCATTCCGCCAGAGAGATATGTTTATACAAATCTTTTAAAATGACTTTGACTGAAGTTGTCATTGCGTCAACGAATGCTGATGGCTTGTTAATGCATGTCTGCAATGAAATGGCTTTGTCGGGGGGTTACTTTCATTAATCTTTAGAGGGGGGAGGGGGGGGGAGGATGACGTGATATCCCCCCCATTCTTCAGGGGGGGGTGATTGTTTGATTGGAAATCATCACCACCGTTGCTGGGGGGAGGGGTGGGGGGGAGGTTATGAACTGAGATCCCCAATCCTATGGGGGGGAGGGGGATACTTTGCGTTGATTCCGGGGGTCACGGTCCCCGCGGCCCGGTCTCTTGACTAGGCTGCCTGGTTGCTGGACTGGTCAACCAGGCTGTTTGACGCGGCTGCTCACAGCCTGGTTGATTAGGTATTTTTTTATAGGTGGTTATCCAGTTCTCTCTTGAACACTGAGGGGGTCGGCCAGTTATGTGTAGTGGAAGCGTGTTGAACAGTCTCGGGCCTCTGATGTTGATAGTTCTCTCTTGAACACTGTGAGGGGTCGGCCAGTTATGCCCCTTATGTGTAGTGGAAGCGTGTTGAACAGTCTCGGGCCTCTGATGTTGATAGAGTTCTCTCTCAGAGTACCTGTTGCACCTCTGCTCTTCAACGGGGGTATTCTGCACATCCTGCCATGCCTTCTGGTCTCATGTGGTGTTATTTCTGTATGCAGGTTTATATATTCCACGTAAATTATTATGTATCTCTCCCGCCTGCGCGCTAGTGAATACCTATTTAGCCATTTTAGTCGGGCCCAGTAATTTAGATGGTTTATAAAGTCCACTACGGGCTCACCATAGCCCGTGCTACTTGGAACATTTTGTTCCAGGTAGCGAATCTTAAACAACAACGATGGTTTATTGAGGGTATTTTGGTAGTAATGGATCTCTGCACGCTCTCCAGGTCAGCAATTTCTCCAGCTTTGAAAGGGGCCGTCATTGTGCAACAGTATTCCATTCTAGAGAGCATTAGTGTCTTGATAAGTATAATCATTGGTACGGCATCTCTTGTTTGAAAGTTCCTTGTTATTCAATCTTTTAATTTATATATATATTTTTTTTAAGCTAAGGTTTTCTGCCATGATTACACTCAAAATTTTTTAAATTGCTTTTACATTCTATGGTGTGATTTAACGTCATTTTACACATGGTTTCCATTTTTATTTTTTATAGCCCAGGAGCTGGAACTTGTTTTCCATAAGCGGGAATAGCTAGGGTTCAGTTCCTGAACGGATTATGTGGCTCTGTAATCCTTTACACCACCGCCCACGGGATATGGGTATGGGGTGCATAATAAAGAAAGAAAAGAGAGGGTAGGGAGAATGGTCACGTGTCCTAAGATTCTTTTAATTTGGAAAGATCAGTAAACAATTCGTGTCTTGTTGGAGCCGAGCGGACAGCACGCTGGACTTGTGATCCTGTGGTCCTGGGTTCGATCCCAGGCGCCGGCGAGAAACAATGGGCAGAGTTTCTTTCACCCTATGCCCCTGTTACCTAGCAGTAAAATAGGTACCTGGGTGTTAGTCAGCTGTCACGGGCTACTTCCTGGGGGTGGAGGCCTGGTCGAAGACCGGGCCGCGGGGACACTAAAAAGCCCCGAAATCATCTCAAGATAACCTCAAGATAACCCTCCCTAATTTCACTTGTCATAATTTTGTTTCTCCTGTTCTACGCCTTGGTTCTGTCTTTGTCCGTCGGCTGTTTAACACGGCCTAATATATTACAGTTTATAGTTTAATTCCGTTTATCACGACGGTTCGAGTTTAATTGCAACAACAAAAAAATAACAAATAAATTGTTTGGTTGACCAGACCACACACTAGAAGGTGAAGGGACGACGACGACGACGTTTCGGTCCGTCCTGGACCATTCTCAAGTCGATTGTGTCGACACAATTGCAATGTATCAAGTCACAATCGACTTGAGAATGGTCCAGGACGGACCGAAACAACGTGGTCGTCCCTTCACCTTCTAGTGTGTGGTCTGGTCAACATACGTCAGCCACGTTATTGTAACTCATCGCCAACTTGTTTGGTGTTTGTGTTTAAAGGCAATTAACCTCTGTGGGGGTTAAGTTCCACAACAGTTTTACTGACAGATTAGTATACTGTTGTGGTTGGCATGTTGCATTGAAATGGCTGCGTATATATAGGCAAGTTGGGTACACCTTGGTCTATACCCTGGAAACACAAACCGAAACTGTCTCTATTTTCCGCTTGTTACAACTTGAAATAAAGTTGTTACATCTTGGCTTAATGTGTTTATGACGTATTATAACGTTGTTACAACTTGCTATATTGGTTGTTATATCTGGTTAGGAGGTGTTAAAACTTGTTCGAACGTTGTACCAACGTCGTAGTTTCGGTGTGTGTTTGGTGGGTATATCCTCTTGGATTTAAAACGTGTTGGTACACTCCTATATCTTCGTATCTGATGATATATCTCAGTGTGGCCTTCAGGGAGTAAATATAAATATATATGTTTAAGGCTCTCATTTCCTGTTCTCGACTGATGGCAGACTTTTTTTTTACAATTGTTATTTTTTTTTATTGTTCGGGGCGTCTTTTCAAAGATACAGGAACTGCGGTCTGTTGCAAAGTTCGCTATCACGACATTTGTACCATTTTGGACAAATTTGTTCCACCGGTTGGGTGTAAAGTTGGTTTATGCAGGCGATGAGTCACAATAACGTGGCTAAAGTATGTTGACCAGACCACACACACTTGAAGGTGAAGGGACCGCGACGACGACGTTTCGGTCCGTCCTGGACCATTCTCAAGTCGATTGCGAAACAGTCGTCGGCCCTTCACCTTCTAGTGTGTGGTCTGGTCAACGAAGTCGGTTTGCTTGTTCCTCCAGTATCTTGGCCACTTCAATCTTGGCCCTCTTCAATCTTGGGCCACTTCAATCTTGGCCCTCTTCAATCTTGGGCCACTTCAATCTTGGCCCTCTTCAATCTTGGGCCACTTCAATCTTGGGCCACTTCAATCTTGGGCCACTTCAATCTTGGGCCACTTCAATCTTGGGCCACTTCAATCTTGGGCCACTTCAATCTTGGCCCTCTTCAATCTTGGCCCTCTTCAATCTTGGCCCTCTTCAATCTTGGGCCCTCTTCAATCTTGGGCCTCTTCAATCTTGGGCCTCTTCAGTCTTGGGCCTCTTCAATCTTGGGCCTCTTCAATCTTGGGCCTCTTCAATCTTGGGCCTCTTCAATCTTGGGCCTCTTCAATCTTGGGCCTCTTCAATCTTGGGCCTCTTCAATCTTGGGCCTCTTCAATCTTGGGCCTCTTCAATCTTGGGCCTCTTCGATCTTGGCCTCTTCAATCTTGGCCTCTTCGATCTTGGCCTCTTCGATCTTGGCCTCTTCGATCTTGGCCTCTTCGATCTTGGGCCTCTTCGATCTTGGGCCTCTTCGATCTTGGCCTCTTCGATCTTGGCCACTTCGATCTTGGCCACTTCGATCTTGGCCACTTCGATCTTGGCCACTTCGATCTTGGCCTCTTCGATCTTGGCCTCTTCGATCTTGGCCTCTTCGATCTTGGCCTCTTCGATCTTGGCCTCTTCAATCTTGGCCTCTTCAATCTTGGCCTCTTCGATCTTGGCCACTTCGATCTTGGCCTCTTCAATCTTAGGCCTCTTCGATCTTGGCCTCTTCGATCTTGGCCACTTCAATCTTGGCCCCACTTCATCTCTCCATTCTCACTTCTATCACTGTCTTGTACTGTGCCAGTTTTCCTGCCTGTCAGTCATGTGATAGCAATTTTCCCAGTGCTCATGTTTCTTGCGTCATGTTAATATGACCTTGTATTTGCTTTATCCTGAACAGACTCGATTATCTAATAGATTTCAACTTGTCCTCCAAAAATGTTAACTCTACAGCTACGGTGGATGGAATGTGCAAAATATTGTTGTACTCCCCCCTCCTCCCCCCGCCCCTTCCAAAAATCTGGGGCCAGATTCACGAAGCAGTTACGCAAGCACTTACGAACGTGTACATCTTTCCTCAATCTTTGACGGCTTTGGTTACATTTATTAAACAGTTTAGAAGCTTGAAAACTTCCCAATCAACTGTTGTTATTGTTATAAACAGCCTCCTGGTGCTTCGGAGCTCATTAACTGTTTAATAATTGTAAACAAAGTCGCCAAAGATTGAAAAAAAGATGTAGAAGTTCGTAAGTGCTTGCGTAACCGCTTCGTGAATCTGGCCCGAGGTCTGTAGTAGCGGACTTGTAGAGCATAATACGTAGCATGACGCTAACCTACTCGGCCCTATTCTTAAGTAGGTAATTCTTGACCTAATTCAGTACATAAATGTACCAGGGCTCGGAAAAAAAAAAGAGTTGATAGTTACCTTTCTGGGGCGGTCAACAGTACTGCTGGTACAACATGTGGACACTTTGGTTATGGCTGGTACCAATAGTTCTCTTGAACACTGGTTTTGTTCAGATGTTTCTCTCTCTCTCTCTCTGGATAGGTATTTACTTCTTGAGAAATTGCTTGGTCTCGCTTCATGCAGGTCGGCGTTCAATTCCCGACCGTCCAAGTGGTTGGGCACCATTCCTTCCCCCCGTCCCATCCCAAATCCTTATCCTGATCCCTTCCCAGTGCTATATAGTCGTAATGGCTTGGCGCCTTCTCCTGATACTTCCCTCCCTCCCTCCTTGAGAAATTTTCAGATTATAGTAACCTGAGAACACAAGGTGTAATGGGCCCATGTAAAGCATTTTTCTGTTTATATCCAGCTAGACGTGTTCGTATATGTCTAACCTACGCTTGAAACAATGCGCCGGGCCTATGATTTTGGTATGCGGTAATTTGTTTCATAAGTCCTCCCTGTAGATCCACGAATATCTAGTTGAAATTGTTATTTTTCTGCAGTCCTGAGGCATAATAAGCAATGTAGAGTTAGATTAATACAGTGTCAAGACGCATTTCAGCTGTATCCGTCTCCAAGGGTAAATTGACAAGTTCACTACGGGCTCGCCATAGCCCGTGCTACTTGGAACTTTTTGTTCCAGGTAGCGAATCTTATACATCATCCAATGGTACTCGGTAGTATATGATTGTGCGTGTGCCTTGTTTCACCAGCAACATGGCAGATGTGGGATATCTTGAGGTTATCTTGAGATGATTTCGGGGCTTAGCGTCCCCGCGGCCTGGTCCTCGACCAGGCCTCCTTTTTGTTACACATCCACAGGAAGCAGCCCGCTAGCAGCTGTCTAACTCCCAGGTACCTATTTACTGCTAGGTAACAGGAACAGCAGGGTGAAAGAATCATTTTGCCCATTTGTCTCGAGATAGAGAAATGAAATATCTTAAATGACAAATTCATATCATAATTCTAATCAGGTTGGAAGATGATCTTAACACAGATTTTTATCTACAAGTTGCATTTTTTTTTAAATTTGCTTAACCACTGCACTGCGCAAAGCGCCTTTAGGCGCTCAGAGAGTTGTGCTTTTTGTTTTTTAATTTGGCTATATTTTAATGTTTTTTAATGTTTTCATTACTATTTGTGTTTTGAAATGGAAATAGTTGACTTTGGAAACATTTTGACATTAAATTTACCTGAACATTTGTAAAAATAACAAAAATATGTCCTTGACAATTGCACCAAGACGTTTTTGCCGAAAATAGGTGAGCAGTGCAAGAATGTGTGGTCGTGGAAGCTGAACATGTACATCCCTGGAAACACAAACCGAAACTGTCTCTATTTTCCGCTTGTTACAACTTGTAATAAAGTTGTTACATCTTGGCTTAACGTGTTTATGACGTATTAGAACGTTGTTACAACTTGATATATTGGTTGTTATAACTGGTTAGGAGGTGTTAAAACTTGTTCAAACGTTGTACCAACGTCGTAGTTTCGGTGTGTGTTTGGCGGGATGGTACTTCTTTCAGTGATGAATTTAATATTTTGACTTGGTCATGAGTGATTAGTGTGAAATTCCGCCCTCCCGTGTCAAGTAATCAGGAGGGAGCGCCGGGCCCCTTACGACTGCCTGGCGCTTGGGAGGGATTAAGAGGATAAGGATTAGGGGTCGGGGTGGGGGGGGGGGGTAAGAGAGGTGTTTCTCTAATACAAATAGAGGAAGAAAGTAAGCCTGATTGGAATGACCCCGTCAAGGAATCCCGTAAAAGAGATCTGTCTTGTGGCCTAATCTGTGGAAGGATGCTGGGTGCCTGGGCGATGCTGGCTGTCAGTATGTTATCTTGAGATGATTTCGGGGCTTAGCGTCCCCGCGGCCCGGTCCTCGACCAGGCCTCCTTTTTGTTACACCCCCCTCCCCCCAAGGAAGCAGCCCGTAGCAGCTGTCTAAACTCCCAGGTACTTATTTACTGCTAGGTGAACAGGGGCATCAGGGTGAAAGAAACTTTGTCCATTTGTTCCGCCTCCACCGGGGATCGAACCCGGAACCACAGGACTACGTATCCGAAGCGCTATCCACTCAGCTGTCAGGGCCCCTTCGCCAAAACATAGACGTATTATAGAGCGCTCTTGATATTAGACGTAGCTCTTGATATTAGACGTAGCTCTTGATATTAGACGTAGCTCTTGATATTAGACGTAGCTCTTGATATTAGACGAAGCTCTTGATATTAGACGAAGCTCTTGATATTAGACGTAACTCTTGATATTAGACGTAACTCTTGATATTAGACGTAACTCTTGATATTAGACGTAACTCTTGATATTAGACGTAACTCTTGATATTAGACGTAGCTCTTGATATTAGACGTAGCTCTTGATATTAGACGAAGCTCTTGATATTAGACGTAGCTCTTGTTATTAGACGTAGCTCTTGATATTAGACGAAGCTCTTGATATTAGACGTAGCTCTTGATATTAGACGTAACTCTTGATATTAGACGTAACTCTTGATATTAGACGTAGCTCTTGATATTAGACGAAGCTCTTGATATTTGACGTAACTCTTGATATTTGACGTAACTCTTGATATTAGACGTAACTCTTGATATTAGACGAAGCTCTTGATATTAGACGTAGCTCTTGATATTAGACGTAACTCTTGATATTAGACGTAACTCTTGATATTAGACGTAGCTCTTGATATTAGACGAAGCTCTTGATATTTGACGTAACTCTTGATATTAGACGTAACTCTTGATATTAGACGAAGCTCTTGATATTTGTTGATATTTGACGTAGCTCTTGATATTAGAGCATCAAGAGAGAGAGAGAGAGAGCATCGTAAGCTCGAAGATTGCTTGTAAGCTTTCAAGACATTTTTTTTTTATGAATCAAGTTATGAATCAAATTTCCAGTTATGACAATATCTGACGCGCCATGCAGTGGTCGTGATTCCCTTACTTAATGATACCTGATCAACCAGGCTGTGACTCATACGTCAGGCTGCGAGCAGCCGCGTCCAACAGCCTGGTTGATCAGTCCAGCAACCAGGAGGCCTGGTCGACGACCGGGCCGCGGGGACACTAAGCCCCGGAAGTACCTCAAGGTAAGGTAAGGTACCGTAATATTCACGTGAACTTTCCCAATTATAAATAAAGATTTTTAATTGGCCTGTATGTGGCCGGGGGGGAGGGGGGATGAGTGCAAGTCTCCCCCAGAGTACCACGTGTTAGGGGGTGGTACTGTGTGTCTAATGGTACCATTAGTACCAAGGATGGTACCAACTTAGGGTACCTAGGTTAGGTTAGGTTACCTAGGATTTATGGTACCACACATGAGCATGTATTGGTGGACTGTGTTGATGTGAACACACATCTGGCATTTACAGATGTGTGGTAGAATTGATTGGGCAATGTTGTGGATTTTTGGTGGTTGACAAAATGAAAGAAAAAAGGGATTCAGTCATCTTTAGTATTGCAAGATTTGTTGAGAGTTGATTTGACGTTACCTTACCTTGAGGTTACCTTGAGGTGCTTCCGGGGCTTAGCGTCCTCGCGGCCCGGTCGTCGACCAGGCCTCCTGGTTGCTGGACTGATCAACCAGGCTGTTGGACGCGGCTGCTCGCAGCCTGACGTATGAGTCACAGCCTGGTTGATCAGGTAATAATTGACGTGGTTCATATTGGCACAAGTTTTATTTGTCGATCGTGACTCGCCCATTTTTTTGGGGTATGTCTCTTAACAGAAATTACTTTTAAAAACTGCATGAGGTAATTATTTAGAGAATTCAAAAAATTGGGTGAGACTAACCCTAAACATCTGACCTCTAATTTTGGACATTTTCATTGATAGATAACTATATAGTTGTGAATCTATCGTGCCCCATTCTCTAATTTATTATAGATAATAATTAAACATTACTTGATATCACTCCTTCATTGTCATTATATATCACATACATAATGAGGTTATCTTGATGATTTCTGGGCTTGGCGTCCCCGCGGCCCGGTCCTCGACCATGCCTCCACCCCCAGGAAGCAGCCCGTAGCAGCTGTCTAACTCCCAGGTACCTATTTACTGCTAGGTAACAGGGAGCAACAGGGGTGAAAGAAACATTTTGCCCATTTGTCTCCACCTCCACCGGGGATCGAACCCGGAACCTCAGGACTAGGAATCCGAAGCGCTGTCTACCCAGCTGTCAGCCTCGGCAGTGACCTCTGACAGCAACCGCTCTTAAAATGACACAACTTTCTGGTACTATCAACCAAGTAGTTATTATATGTAGTGATGAATCGGCAAAAAGTTATTATTGAATTCGGCCAAGAGGGGGATTTTTTTGTTTTTAACTAAAATCTATAACCTAAACTCTCCCCTAGCATTCCTTAATATACTTTCTTAGGCCTTATATAATACATATATGTGCTATACTTGGGAATAGTTTAGGTTTCCGTTTTCTTTAACGGCGCTACATAGCCTTCCCGGCTTGGTGCCTTCTTTTGATAATTTATTGATTTTATCCAGATTCTATTTCATTAAAAATACAAAAGTGAACTATTTGATGTTCACTACATTGTTGGTAGTTTCAAGCGAATAGTTACTGTAAGTTAGTATCATTTCACGACTGATACTGGAGGCAGTGGCCACGCTTCTTGTAAAGGTATATTGAAATGTATATTGAAATGTATATATATTCCCTCTTGTATCCAGTCTCCTCCCCTCAACACAAACTGTGTTGGTCAAGTTTCCTGGCCCGCCGGCCAGGAAACTTGTCATTCATCACTGAATGAATGACATCATTCATCTTGTCATTCATCCTACATCCAAATTTGCTGGAATAGTCTTGTCTGTTCAAGGAATTATTCATTTGTTCAGCATGGGAACTATTCCCAGTATGTTCTCATATGTTCCGCTGTCCCTAAACCCCCCCCTTACACTCCCTGGCTGTCTCTGATACCCCCCCTTACACTCCCTGGCTGTCTCTGACCCCACACACACACTCCCTGGCTGTCTCTGACCCCACACACACACTCCCTGGCTGTCACTGACCCCCACACACACACTCCCTGGCTGTCACTGACCCCCCCACACACACTCCCTGGCTGTCTCTGACCCCCACACACACACTCCCTGGCTGTCACTGACCCCCCACACACACTCCCTGCCTGTTACTGACCCCCCCACACACTCCCTGGCTGTCACTGACCCCCCACACACTCCCTGGCTGTCACTGACCCCCAACACACTCCCTGGCTGTCACTGACCCCCCACACACACTCCCTGGCTGTCACTGACCCCCCCACACACTCCCTGGCTGTCACTGACCCCCCCACACACACTCCCTGGCTGTTACTGACCCCCCCACACACTCCCTGGCTGTCACTGACCCCCCACACACACTCCCTGGCTGTCACTGACCCCCAACACACTCCCTGGCTGTCACTGACCCCCCACACACACTCCCTGGCTGTCACTGACCCCCCCACACACTCCCTGGCTGTCACTGACCCCCCACACACTCCCTGGCTGTCACTGACCCCCCACACACACTCCCTGGCTGTCACTGACCCCCCCCACACACTCCCTGGCTGTCACTGACCCCCCCACACACTCCCTGGCTGTCACTGACCCCCCCACACACACTCCCTGGCTGTCACTGACCCCCCCACACACTCCCTGGCTGTCACTGACCCCCCCACACACTCCCTGGCTGTCACTGACCCCCCACACACACACTCCCTGGCTGTCACTGACCCCCACACACACTCCCTGGCTGTCACTGACCCCCCCTGACCCCCACACACTCCCTGGCTGTCACTGACCCCCCACACACTCCCTGGCTGTCACTGACCCCCCACACACTCCCTGGCTGTCACTGACCCCCACACACTCCCTGGCTGTCACTGACCCCCCCACACACTCCTTGGCTGTCACTGACCCCCCACACCCCTGGCTGTCACTGACCCCCCACACACTCCCTGGCTGTCACTGACCCTCCCAACACTCCTTGGCTGTCACTGACCCCCCCCCCACACACACCCTGGCTGTCACTGACCCCCCCACACACACTCCCTGGCTGTCACTGACCCCCCACACACTCCCTGGCTGTCACTGACCCTCCCACACTCCTTGGCTGTCACTGACCCCCCCACACACACCCTGGCTGTCACTGACCCCCACACACACACTCCCTGGCTGTCACTGACCCCCCACACACTCCCTGGCTGTCACTGACCCTCCCCACACTCCTTGGCTGTCACTGACCCCCACACACACACCCTGGCTGTCACTGACCCCCCCCACACACACCCTGGCTGTCACTGACCCCCCCCCACACACTCCCTGGCTGTCACTGACCCCCCACACACACTGGCTGTCACCAACCCCCCACACACACTCACTGGCTGTCACTGACCCCCCCCCCCCCCACACACTCCCTGGCTGTCACTGACCCCCCACACACACTCCCTGGCTGTCACTGACCCCCCACACACACTCCCTGGCTGTCACTGACCCCCCACACACACTCCCTGGCTGTCACTGACCCCCCACACACTCCCTGGCTGTCACTGACCCCCACACACACTCCCCGACTGTCACTGACCCCCCCACACACACTCCCCGACTGTCACTGACCCCCCACACACTCCCTGGCTGTCACTGACCCTCCCCACACTCCTTGGCTGTCACTGACCCCCACACACACACCCTGGCTGTCAGTGACCCCCCCCACACACACCCTGGCTGTCACTGACCCCCCCCCACACACTCCCTGGCTGTCACTGACCCCCCACACACACTGGCTGTCACCAACCCCCCACACACACTCACTGGCTGTCACTGACCCCCCCCCACACACTCCCTGGCTGTCACTGACCCCCCACACCACCCCCCGGCTTGTCCCTGCCCCCCCCCCCCCACTCCCTGGCCGGTAACGGACCCCCACACACACTCCCTGGCTGTCACTGACCCCCCACACACTCCCTGGCTGTCACTGACCCCCACACACACTCCCCGACTGTCACTGACCCCCCCACACACACTCCCCGACTGTCACTGACCCCCCCACACACTCCCTGGCTGTCACTGACCCCCCCACACACTCCCTGGCTGTCACTGACCCCCACACACACTCCCTGGCTGTCACTGACCCCCCACACACACACCCATGTTGTGTGGGGGAGAAAATGGGTTCGCTAAACATATTTTATGAAGGAATAATATTTTTGCAAGGACACATTCATATATTTTTATATTATTATTTTGAATAACCTCTGTTTTTTGTCCTTGTTTTCTGGGCTACTTTTCAATTTTGTTCTCATTCACACATAGTGAAAGGTAAGAGTGAAAGACACATTTTTTTAACCTTTTGCCCTCATGGCAGAGTGTATTGGGCAATGTCAGTGATCTTGAGTGACCGCATCACCATGGCAACAAAAACATCTACATAGAAACACTGTATTTCTCCTCCTGAGACTCCTGAAATTTTCAGACACCAAACGCCACATAATCTGAAATTAAAAGGGAGTGATATTACTTGTAATGTGGTTTTTCTTCGTCTTCGAACAGCAGTTACTTGTCCTCGTAAGTCTTCAAGTATTAGTGACTCGCTTCTTACTCCTGAGCATTATCTTATCTCTTGAGCGGGCTCTATGGGCTTCCATTATCTGGGATACGAAGGCTGTTGGGCTTGTCAGGGGTCTCCCTGGGCTAGGTGGAGACCTTTCCCAGTATGCAGCCAAGAGCAGTTGTCACACTGATAAGACACCTACTTGCTGCTAGGTGAGGCTGCTAAGTGAGGCTGGTAGGTGAGGCTGGTAGGTGAAGCTGCTAGGTGAGGCTGCTAGGTGAGGCTGCTAGGTGAGGCTGCTAGTTAAAACGAAGCATGCTACACCAACTCTGTCCTGCTGCGAGGCAAGGAACCTGTGACCTCTTGGTTATAGAGCGCTACACCAGCTTATTAACATTCAGGGCCAAGACCCACGCTATTACGGGATCACCATAGCCCGTGCTACATGGACACTTCGTTCCGAGTAGCTAAATCTGAAACAACCTACTCTAGCATGCTCGTTAGCACTATCATGGTCATCTATCATAAAAGAGGAAGTTTGGGAGCGACTTGTTGGGTGGGAAGTCTCTCGATATCCATCAACCCAGCCTCCACTAGTCCAAACAGCTGCCGACCCCAAAATTCCATTTATTCTGTGAAAAAGAAACAGCAGTATTAAATGTAAATTCTTATACTATGCCACGTACAGTTGAGTTTGTGCTATTGATTAATTTGTTTGCTGTCTGTTTTGATTTTTTTTTGGTTGGCCAACAAAAAAAGGTTTCAAATAGCAACAAAAAATTTCCTAAACAGCCCCGCTCCTGTGCCAGGTAAGTCCATCACGGGCTCACCATAGCCCGTGCTACTTGGAACTTTTAGTTCCCAGTAGCTGAATCTTAAACAACAACCTAAAATATTATATATACACTTGTAGTGTACATGATATTTTGATATCGTGTACATATCATGCGTTATGATAACGAGAGCAAGGGGGCGAGATCAATGATTCTAGCACAAAATTTGCTATATTTCTTTGTTCACTGGAGACAATTTTTCTATTCCCTTCTCAGAAGTCCTTGTGGATTTGTTCATTTGACAGACATAACTATGAGTGCCGCCCTGATTGGCATCAATGGGTCACGTAATCATCGTTCAAGAAATAGCCAAGATGGGGTGGGGGGGGGGGAAGGAAGCAAGAAGGGGAGGAGACTAAGTTACGTAAATACACTCTCAACTTCGTAATAACCCCCTCCCCTCTCCCCCACCTTCTCCCCTCCTCAGCCCCCTCTTTCCCATTGTCCTCTTCTATACATTTTTTTTTTTTTACATTATGGACAACATAGCCTCTTTTATAGCATTTTATTATTTTATTTTTTATAGCATTTTAGCATAGCATTTTACATTATGGACAAAATAGCCTCTTCAAGTTGAGAGACAGGTAGGGGAAGAGGACACAGGTTTTTTTTTTTTTTATTTTTATTTTTACATGCAAGCATGCGTATAATGTACAAGAAAAACAGAACAAATACAACATAGAACAAAAGTACAAAGCACACATATGTACAAGGACAAAGGAACAAATCAATAGAAGACCAGCCAGAAGGGCTGACCACAAGACAAAAATGCATATACAAACAATACACAATTAGTAACACAGTGTAATACAAACATAAGGGAAAACCCCAGGACAAAACGCACACAAAACCAGCCTGCTAACACCTCAAATACATACAGAGAGGCGAGAAACATACAAGAATAAGAACAATAACAATAAAGAAAACAGATCCGCCATAACAAACGGAAGGCAAAACATAACAAAGAGCACACGCCAACAGCCTGAAGGGCACACAATATGACAAGTGCACACGACATCCATAACCGAACACACAAACGCATAGGAACCGCACACCCCCCCACGAGCCATACAAAAAAACCCACAAAACAAACCGGAGCACGCAGGAACCGGGAAACAATACCCACCCCACCCAGTCACATACACACCCCACAACCAGGCAACACAAAATACATAGAAATCACTTGCGAGGAACATCGGAAGAAACGTACTTCTCCGGGAACAGCTCACAAGGATATTTCGACTTGTAAGCTTCCCAGACGAGATCTTCAAGGTCGGTAGGGTTTTTGATCCCCCGCGCTCGAGCGGGTATCATAAACTCAGGAACATCTATATCTGGCGGCATCGGCCAATGCCTAAGGTCACTGACGCAAGTCGCATAACGAGGCTGGGGAGCGCCAACCACGCCCTTCGAGGAAGCAGATGACACCGGAGAAGCGGACGAGGGACGCCGAGCCTGCCACGCCATCGCCATCGGAGCAGGTGTCGGACGCTGAGACGATAGCACTTCCACGGATACCGCAGGAGACACGGAAGGGACTGCAGGAAACGGAAGAGGCGGCAAGACCGCTGCCGAGGAAACGGGTAACGAGGAAGGGGCCACAGAACATCCAGAGCGAGCATCCTTTCTCAACATCACCACCAGGCCACCCCGCTCACCACCAACTACAGCAGGGGGAAACACCGCCCACGAAGAACCGGAGCCATCCGACGCAGGCAACGCACCTGAAGCAGGACCCTCGGACACCGGACCAGAGGTTGAGGCCGAAACGCCGGCACCGGCATCCTCAGGCAAGTGTACCTCCGCCACCACCGTAGTGTGCACCACATCCGGAGCCACGCCACCGTCAACGGAAGGACGACACTCGTCGAATTCGCCAACATCAGCCCACACAGAAGAACGCCGGGAACGCTTAGGCTCGGGCCGCACATCATCAGACCCGGAGGCAGACTCAGCGACCCGCGCAGCACCAACCGAGCGAACCGACGCACGCCGCAGCACGGCAGCCTCCTCAACCACACGGGGCACCAGGCCAGGCACAGGAGGGAATTCCGGATCCACCTCATCTCCCAGCACAGCCGGGACAGACGGCGAGGGTGCAGGGACCGGGACAGACACAGCAGAGGAAGAACTGGAAGACGAGGGGTCTGAGCAAACGGCAGGCGGAAGAGGCGCAGGGACACCAGCTGGAGCACTAGGCGAGGACCCAACCTCTGGAAGAGATGCGGCAACAACAGGGGGCGCAACAGGCGGAGCAACAGCTGCTACAGAGGGCACCTCCTCAGCCGAAGAGACGTCCATACCCACCGATTCATCCCCCACAGGAAGGGGCGGAAAATCCTCCTCACTGAAGAGGTTCACTGGTGCAACAGGAGGCGCAGAACAGTCAGCAGCCTGATGGCCCAAAAGACCACAACGATAACACGTCCGCGGCTGACGGGCGTAAAACACCCGAACGTTGTACCCCATAAGGCGCACAGAGGACGGAATATCCGCCCGGAGTCTCATGCCCTGGGTGCGAATGTTAGACCTCACACCCTTAAGAGGACTAGAAGACACCACGTTCACTCTCACACTAACAACTGCGCCAAACCGCCCGAAATACCGCCGGAGCAGAGCCTCTGGAAACTCCAAGGGAGCCCCATGCACACTGATGTAAGTAAGTGCACCACTTCTATCCGAGAGGGTGACAGTGCCCGCACCATCCGGCAGGGGCAGTGTCCGCCCCTCGTATCGCCGGAGAAAATCGCGATACGCCGCCTCCTCTGCAAACTTCACAATGGCCCTACGGGCCGTTACCAACTCGACCCCATAAATCGCAAACACAGGGACAGAGAGCATTTCACAAGCCAGGGCAATCTCCGGGTAACCAGCCCGCACAGAGAACTCTAGTCCCACAGACTGAGCCCGGACGACTGGGGGTAGAGGGACCCCCATCGTAACGCCACGTCAGCACAGGCGAGCAGACACACACCCGCCCCCAACCGGCCGAAACGGGCAAACAACACCCACATTATGGACAACATAGCCTCTTTTATAGCATTTTATTATTTTATTTTTTATAGCATTTTAGCATAGCATTTTACATTATGGACAAAATAGCCTCTTCAAGTTGAGAGACAGGTAGGGGAAGAGGACACAGGTGGAAGCTGGAAACGCAAACGACTCGAACGCATGTCAGGAAATACTCGTTACCTTGTACGGGAGTTCAACAGGTGGAATGCACTGAAGGAACACGTAGTAGAAGCCACCTCCATAAGGTCAAATTCGAAAAAAAAACTATTGAGACGTTTGAATTCTTAAGTTATTACGGCACCAACATGGCTGCTAGACGGGACATAAGGAGCTAGACCTGAACTACCTCGTCACTGGTAGTTAGTACCAAGACCCACCACATAACAACTACATGTAATATCGTTAAACTTCACTCATACATTCTTGTATGGCGTTGATACATATATGTAATGGCCGTATACATTATGCAGCA